AAGCTTGGAGCATTGTTGTCATCATTTACTGAGCCCTGTGACACCCAAGCTCTGTGCTGGGTGCTTTAGACACACTGTGATGTATAAATCCTAGCAACCCCAGAGGTGGGGATTGTCCTGGGAGCAGCAAGGATATAGAGATGAGAGAGGTGAAGGTGCTCACCCAAAGCCCAGCTATGGCTTATAAATGACAGTCTCATCACAGAGGCATGACCCCTGACTTCCTGTGTCAAGGAGGTGAGCGACTCACCAGTCAGGATGCAGTGTGATTTCTCTGGGAAGGGCAGCCACTGGAGAAAGGACTTCAGGATTGGTTACAACTGCCCCCTGTGGGGAGGGGGTCACACAAGAGCCTCAGGCACCCACCCTTACCAGTGACCCAGTTGGCACGCACACAGGGGGAAGGAGGGAGCCCCAGTTGGTCACTTCTAGAAGGCTGGGAGCGTGAGTGAAGGGGAGGAGGAGAACGCTCGCAGGCTGCAGGCTGCAAGAGCCTGGTGAGAGAGAGGAATGATAAATGTGGACGGCGACATTTGCAGAGCAGAGTCAAGACAGCGGCAAAGAGGCAAGAGGATTTTAAGAAATGTCACACTGCCCTGTCAATTGGGTCTGTCATACACTCAATTGCCTATTAACTATCTCTGGCTTTTGGAATAAGTTTCTCTGGGGAAAAAAAGAAAAATTGGGAATAAATCATGCAGGCTTCTGAAATTTATTTGTGTTATATTAATACCTTCCTTTTTCTTTATTAAGAAATTGACATTGAGAGTGTGATTATATTATAATGAAGAAAAACACATAGAAATATTTTCAGGGTTTTAGAACAACTGTTCTTTTAGATAGGGAATATTTTGGGGAGCAGTTAATAATACCATTTTCTGAGAACCTTTTCCAATTGCTCATGTTCTTTTCTTTTTGCTATTTGGTGGGAAAGAAAGGCCCAGATCCCCAAAGGGCTTTGTAGCCTGCAGGAGGCCTATGCCCTGTCCAATACTGTACATCTCAGAGACAAAAGAAGGGCTTAAACCATTCCAATTCAGCTTAATCAATTTTTACCATTTTACCTGGGACTGTTCTCAACATGAGGATGGGCTCTGAGATGAGAAACACTTCCCTTTTGCCCCACCCCTCATCTTGTGTCTCCCACATAGAGCAAGCATTTTATGAGGACACAAGATTGATAATCGTGATATGTCAGTAAGAACCACCTGGCAGATTGGTATAGTGTCTGTGGATGATTGACATGTAGGCCAGCAAACAGGAGGGAAGTCCCGCCTCAGATGTGTGTGTCACCAGCCAATAAGCTTGTGCCTGGACTCAATAAAAAGGGCAAGAGTAGGGAAGTGTTCCCATCTTGGAGGAGCTCCAGTCTTCACCTTTGACATCTGCTCCCCTTCACCCTTCCAATACACTTGAACTGATAACTCTACAGAGTTTCCAGGCCTTCAGCCTTCAACCGTTACTTGATCTTCTGGGTCTTGTGGACTCCACCTCTGATCCTGTGAGCCTATCTAGTAAACCTCCTTGTACAATTATACACATTTTCTATTGATCCTGATCCTCTGGAGAACCCTAACTAACACAGGACAGGAGTTCAGTGTTTGGGTCCCAGGATCGTGGCAGCTAGTACAGACCCCAGCTAGCGAGGCACCTAGTAAAAGTATGTTGGGGAAAGAAATAGGCCTGGCACCTGAAAATGCACTAGCTTTTCCCTGGAAACCCCCAACATCTCTCACTGGAATTCTCTTTTTCAGTTTAAATGTAAGATAATACTGGCTCAAAAACTGAAACTGAAGATTTCAGAGCTGGCCAGAAAAAGAAATAATGTGAACACTGAAATACTGGCAGTCCTAACAGTTCACTACTATTCCCATTTGCTGAGCACATACTATATACCAGGCACTGTGCTAGCTACTGATAAGAAAAATTCTTACTCTGACCATGGTAATGGGAATAAAGACAGCATCTCTAGAATTACTCCTATCCATTAATTATGTCAGAGCCCAGAGCTATGTTCCAGGCACTGGTCTAAGTTCTTCCCATGTACTGTTCAGATTATAAGTACAATTAATTTCTAGCTTATAGACAAGCAAGTTGAGACTTAGAACGATTGAGTTAGTGTGGTCATGTTCCACAGCTAGCGTCTATGAAGTCCAGGTTCAGATTCCTGTGGTCGAGTGCCTGCCCTGTCTTACTGACTCCCAGGATGCTTTCCTATGCGATCATTGCCTTCAGATCATGAGGAATTTGGGATCAAAATGCACACTGGTAGTGCACACCTTTAATCCCAGCAGTCTGGGAAGCTGAGGCAGGAGAATCAAACGTTAGAGCCCACCCTGGGCAACTTACCAACCTAGTGAGACCCTGCATCAAACTAAAAGATATAAAAAAGGCTGAGGATGTACCTTAGTGCAAAGGACCTGGATTCAATCCCCAGTGAAGCCAAAAGAAGCAAGGAAAAAGCAGATTCCCAGGCCTGCAGCTGAAGAATCAGAATCTCTGCAGGAAAAGGGAACCCAGAAATTCCTACCTGAAGCCGCTCACCCAGGTAATTCAGATGCACAGCTGTTACATCTGTGTCTGGGTGTCTCTCAAAGCGTCATGCAGTCACAGGTGGACTTTTTCAGATGTGGCCGGATCTAGAGTGTGTGATGGTGGAATTGATTCGTAGTGTAATGCTAGGCTCAAGGGCACTAGAGTTAAGGGTATGAGTGTTACCCACACCCTAAGTATCCTGGATAAGGGAAAGAAAGGGCTGTGGTCATCCTTTGCTTGTTTTGCTACCTTCTGCTGGCCATGAACTATTTCTCCTCTGCGATGGCTGTCTGCCCCACCACCTTGCCTTGGAGCCAGCTGATGCTGGACTGGAACCTCTAAACACTGGGAGCTGATAAACCTTTCCTCCTTTAACTCTCAGTATTGGGTATTTTGTCTCAGCAAAGAGAAAAGTAACTAAGACAGCAGTAGAGTTTGTGACCACAACACAAGCTGCATTTCCATCCTCTTCATGCCAAACAAGGGGCAAAAAAGAAAAGAACAGAAAGGAAGAGAGGGAGGGAGGAACTTGCCCCAGGTTGGACTCCTTTTCTGCTCAGGGCAGCTCAGCACCAAGGTCCCCCACGTCTGTCTTTGGGGGTGCCTCGGTGTGCTCCCCCAGTACTGACGGCCTCATGAACCTCCGTAGGATTCAGTGGCCCTCTGTGCTAGGGATACCTGCCGAGATGGTGCCCTTTAGGCAGCCAACTACCAGCAAGAGCAGTAAGATGAAATGTAACTGCGGCCAGGGTCAAACCAGAACGCTGATCCCTGTCAGATCAGGGCACCGCTGCCAGGGCAGCTCCAGCAGGCAGGTGGGCAGCTGTCTGCGGACGGGGACAGCAAAGCAGCAAGGGGAGGGGCAGAGACTGCAGGAGGGACCTGGGGATGGGACTCGAGGGTGGGGACACCGTGGCTTCTTCTCAAGGAAGTTACTGGGTCTCAGTTTCCTCATCCTGTAAAAGGAAAATAGTATTATCATTAGAAGGCTATTAATGCTGTCGCCCGAGGTTTATTGAACACTCTCTGTGCGTCAGACACTGTCTCTGTCTCTAGTCAGTCGGTCCATCTTCATTACAAATGTCTGTGAAGTCACTTTGCCCCTTTGACACTGACATGTGAGGAATGAGCTGTGGCGTGGTTTTGAAACTTGCCAGCATTTTCCAGCAGGGAACTGTGAAGCCAGAATTTGATCCCAGATCCTCCTCGTGCCGACACTTGTCCTGATATTACCCAGAGCTTCTCCATTGTCCCTTTCACTTCTGGTTTTTACGACCATTTGCCTCACAGGAACTGTTCATGTGGGACTGCCACATTCTAAGCCTCCACGCAAAACACCAGTTGGCCCAGACGTCTGGCAGGGAGTTGGCAAAGACCCACCCGTGGCTCTGTCCACGGAAGACTTGTCACTACACAGGGCCCCAGAGGTGTCCAGCAAACAGACAGAGCCTCAGCTCAGCTAAGCATGAGCCAGAACACCGATCCTAGGGCTGCCATCTGCCTCCCAAATGTCCAAACTGGGGAGAAGTACTGCGGAGTGGGTGGGTAGGGGCTTTCAACCCAGACCTCTAACGCCAGCTCCCACCATATGCCCCTCACTCACGCCTACTTCTGAGCTCAGGGCCTTTGCACTGGCTGTGACCTCTTCTGAAAATACCATTCTCCCTGCCTGAAAGAAGCTTCTTCCTTCTTCCTCTTTGTTGTCCTAGTCTCAGATCATGATTCCCCTCTTCAGGGAGGGCTTTCCTGACCACTCTAAGGAAGTAGCATCCTGAATCCATCTCAATCCATCACCTCCCCTGCCTAACTTCTTTCATGGTTCGCAACACCATCTGAATGCCCTTCCTTACTCGATATTTGTAGATGTGCTAGAGCAGTGCCTGGCACATGGTTGATTCTCAGTGAATATGTGCTGAATGGATGGATAAATGAATGAATAAATGGGAACTCTTACTTTGCTTTGCAATAAAGACCCAGGAAACTATATTCATTCTGGTTAACAAAAGTAGAGACCCCAAGAAATAGCAGCATGTTTGGTAACAACTTAACAACCTCCCTGCAGCTATATCCACACACGTTGCTGGGCACCGTTCCAGAGCTAAAGAGGCACTAATAGCTTTTATGCAAAGAGGTAGGAGCACAGGCCTGCCATGTCCCTGAGTCTTGTCGGCCTGCATTATCAGATTGGTTACTGTGTTAATTGGTCCTGTCTCACACAGCCACTTCGGGCTTCATTCTGCATGTCTGGGATAGTGACAGGTTCCTATACAGAGAAGACAGGTCCGGGGAGGAGTGTGGCACGTGACTTCCCCGGACCTGTACAAAGGCAGCCACACGCTGGAAAGAGTTAACCTGCAGCCTGGCCGTCTGTGCTCAGGACCCAAAGCTGGCCCAGGAATGGGCGGGGAAGGCCTGGGGTGGCTGGGCTTGCACCAACTGCCTCCCCCAGCACAGAGGAGCAGATGCGTGCCCAGCCGGACTGAGGGTGGTGAACTCCAGGTGCCTTTCGGAATGGCTGCAAAAGCCCACACCTGGAAATCACTGCCTGCCTGCCCCTCCCTGGCAGGTTGCACTGGGGAGACGCTCTGGTCATCAGAGGAATGAGCCAGGAGAGAGCCATTCGCCAGCCCGCCAGCACTTGGTAGGAAGCAGAGGCGAGGATGGACGCGGTGGACAGCCTTCTTGTGAATGGGAGCAATGTCACACCTCCCTGCGAGCTCGGCTTTGAGAATGAGACCCTCTTCTGCTTGGATCGGCCCCGGCCTTCCAAAGGTAGGTGCCAGAAGCTGTTATTTTAATTCACAAAACTCCTGAGTTGAGGGGAGCTAGCCGCCAAGGCAAAGCTGATAAAGAAAACATAACAAAGTCATTGTGAGGCGAGGCTGGGTAAAGTCCTACACACAGAAGTTTGGCTTAAAAGATCAAAAGCAGACTCGAGTCAAAAGAATCGTACCCTTCCCCCGGGGAGAGTTGGGGACCCATGTGTAGGACTAGGGGAGGACAAAAGCAGCGGGAGGCAGAGCTAAACGTAGCGAGAAAGGAGTACAAGACTGGCAGCCTGAACTTACAAGCACCACAGAAAAGGTGCTGTCACGACAGAGCAGTTGCCTTTTCTTGGGCGAACCTAGCGTGACGAAGTGATTACAGCTAAATAACGCTTAGCCCCTAAGAAAGAAAGCTGGCACTATTCAGCCGCGTAGTCCTTAAGACAAAGTGGTATCCTGAGAGACCCTTTAACAAGCCAACCTTTCAAAAGCCACTGAATCACCCCGTGCTTTGCTCAGTTTGTTTCTGCAAAATGTTGTCTATGTGGGAAGCGGAGGGGCCGTTGGCGGGGGAGGCGCGCAAGCGGCACTAAGATTTTAGCATTCTGCTCTCATCGCCTGCCTCCCGCTGCTGTGTCGTCCCTGTGCCTTGCAGAGTGGCAGCCGGCGGTGCAGATTCTCTTGTACTCCTTGATCTTCCTGCTCAGCGTGTTGGGAAACACGCTGGTCATTACAGTGCTGATTCGGAACAAGAGGATGAGGACTGTCACCAACATCTTCCTGCTCTCACTGGCCGTCAGTGACCTCATGCTCTGCCTCTTCTGTATGCCCTTCAACCTCATCCCCAGCCTGCTCAAGGATTTCATCTTTGGGAGCGCCATGTGCAAGACCACCACCTACTTCATGGGTAAGCTGCTGCAGGGCTGTTTGCAGGGCTGACTGCAGACCCACCTCACTGCCAGCCCTTCCCTAGCCCTGCTGAGTTCTGAAACGCTCAACATCTGGCTGTGGAGGGCTATATGCAAGGGTACAGGTGCTGGCTTTGTGGAGGCCAGTCCTCCTACATCCCCAGGGCTCAGCTCCTTGTCCTGTGTCGGAAGTCCAGATGGAAAACAGAGGAGGTTCGGGATGTTTGCTCCAGCTCAAAGGGAGAAGGGTTCAAAAGTATAGGGAGAGTGCTGGCCTTGCACGCACAAGGCCCCGGGTTCAATCCCCAGGACCAAAAGCAAACAAGGTGACTTCAAGTTGCTGTCTTTTCTGGGAGTGGATGATGGTATCCTGATCTCTCCCCGGCTTGGGGATGGTGACTATCACGGAGGAGCACTCTTTGCTATGGGGCTCTTATTTTCTTTGCCACCCGAGGCTATTTTTAAACCAGTTTTGTCACAGGTGTAGTTTCTCTTCTCAAGACTCACTTCCCAGATTATTCCCCAAAATGGTCAGGACCATCTCAGGCAAAAGGTGAGAGGAAAGGTGAGAGAGAGTTACACACACACACACACACACACACACACACACACAAAGAGGTCTCTGCCCCTAACGAAGAATTGAACGTGTGCCCGGGAGCTGTGTATCACTCTGGCTGACAAAATGATGGCTTCATTAGAAATCACAAGAGCTAAAACTCTGTGAGTACTTTTCTGTACCAGATATTGTACTAGTGCTTTTACTCCCTGCATCTCCCGACCATTCTGTGGAGGAAATACAGTTATCCTCGCCCCCCTCATCAAGGAGAAACAGAGGCACAGAGAGGTTCCAAGCTGCACACAGGTGATAAGTGACACAGCAGGGATTTGAACCCGGAGTGGCAGGGACCACCACTACCATGACGAGCGTGCTGCCTCTGCTGCCTGCTGTAGTTCTCCTAACGCACAATAAAAGCATGTTTCTTGGTCTCCTCTGTCCACCAAGTTGCTATAGTTCTTGGCCATTCTGAGAGCTAGTTGGGAGACAGGGAGAGGTGGGAAATATGGGGGAACTACTTTCTTGTTTTGACCCAAAGCTTGTGAAATACGCAGCACTGGGCTGACCTAGGGCAGGCTGCAATGACCAGAAAGCTTTGAGAGCCTTTATTTTTTCAAACTGAGGAAGTGGGGTCCAGCACAGATAAAATGAAGATGAATTACTGATCCTCCTGCCAGGAACAAACAACCAAAACAATGTCTCTGTGTCCACAGCCTCAGAAAATATTTTTTTAATGAAAAAGGACCCTTGTTAAGTAACCAAGCAATGATAACACCTGCTATTCCACAGTGCTTTAGATTTGCAAGGTGTACCCTGTACATCTTATGGGGTATGATTTGAGGATGTAAAAGAAGATTGCAAGTGAGTGTTTGCATGGTCACACAGCAGTGAGAAGGCCATGGATTTTTCCCTTTAATATGGTTAACTATGTGTTATGTGAGTTTTGCCTCAATTAAAAAAAATAAATAAACAGGCAAAAAGAAAAGCCAATTCTGAAAGTATTTGGGATGCCATACTCACTTTGTTGGATTTCTAGTTCCAGGGACTTGGATTCTTTGAGTTTTTTGTGGTCTCTTCAATACTATTATTAGCATTTATTAAACTATTTATATCCAAAAAGGGACAGTGAGTGCTGTCCTGACTGTAATTATGAGTGAGCTCACAGTTACAGTGAATCCACTACACAGAACAAAAACTTTATAGTGCTTGGGTGTACCCTCTCAATTCTAAATGCCATTAACTTTTTAGGGCGAAGTCCAGGAAAACATAGCCAATCTTACCCCATAGTATCAGCTTTATTTAATGGCTTTACAGTCAGAGACTCCTTTAAGACCAAGAAAAGTTAGGGCCAGCATTACAAAAATAAGTTTAATTTTGTACATAACTTCAGAGCATTGATTTATAACCATATACATAGTAAGGCTCTAAGGAGTCAGGTTAAGAACTCTGTTTTCAAGTCTATATTAATCCTAAAGTTTGAGAAATCATAGGGAGAAATGCTCAAAATTGACAGAATTCATGGCTAAAGAATTCAAAGGGAAACTTTCAGAGGTTGAGATGTTGTAATAAGTATATATACACAATACAAATATTAAGAGAAATTAAACATGGTTTTTATTACTATGCCCAAATATATGTCTTTACACATAATATACTTGGAGTTTTTCACACTGTAATGGTAATGCACACCCTCTTTACAAAATAAAGAACAGCAGAGAGAGTAAAAAGGAAGACCCTAGTGCCCCTACCCAGAAAAATCTTTAGTTACTGCATGTAGCTTTTCTCTTCTATCTTTTTTACTACGTATTTTTCAACAGATTACATTTTAAAAATAAGCATATTTCTCTTTTTTAAAAAAACAGCTTGTACTAGAAATTTTTAGAAAATTAATGCTTCCAGCTCAGACTCCAGTGACCTTTCAGGGTTACACAGTCCTTGAGAATCTCAGTTTTTCAGGTCAGTTTAACCATGCGGATCGTGAGATTCCATGTCTAGTTTCGATTAGCGTTTTTCTCTAGATTTCTCAAAATCATTTTTGGCAAGGTAGCAATGTATTTTTATTCCCTTGGTTATTAATTAATGGGCACTCTCAGCCTAAGCAGGAGTTAGACTGCAATCAAAGCTCAATGAACTTATCTGAAAACTGGCAGTAGATGTATTTGCGAGTACATTTCCTTAGCTGCCTTAAATCCTTTTGGACCGAAGCTGGGAATAAATCCTCTCTTTCAAACACACATACACAATATTTCCTTCTCCCTTTGATGTTAAACCCGTGCCGATCCGATGTGCTTAAAGTTAATGGGCAAATAAACTTTGCATTTCAGCACTGACATGACCGGCTTCCTTGCTCCTTCGCAGGCACCTCTGTGAGCGTATCCACCTTTAATCTGGTAGCCATATCGCTGGAGAGATATGGAGCAATTTGCAAGCCTTTGCAGTCCCGGGTCTGGCAAACAAAATCGCATGCTTTGAAGGTGATCGCTGCTACCTGGTGCCTCTCCTTCACCATCATGACTCCATACCCTATTTACAGCAACTTGGTGCCTTTTACCAAAACTAACAACCAGACCGGGAATATGTGCCGCTTTCTCCTGCCAAGCGATGCTATGCAGCAGACCTGGTAAGGCAGCATTGTGTCTACTTTTTATACAACTTCATGTAAGTGTATAACATGAAATACCAGAATGCTTTGTTCAGAACGGTTGGGAGATTGGTGTCACAGAGGCTTTTTGAGAAGGTTTATTCTACCGTGGCTCTAAGCATGGCAGTGAGAGCGAACACTTCGGTTGAGTGCTCCATTTTAAATGCCACACATATATTGGTTCAATGAATCCTCCACAAATCCTGTAGGGTAGGTACTATCATTGTGTCCATTTTACAGATGAGGAAGCTGCGGCTTGGAAAGGCTAAGTTGCCCAAATTCACAGATCTAGGCCAGGGCAAGAGCCTCTGTGCAGAATGCTTCCAAATGATTGAGTGGACGGTAGGCTGGATAGCTCAGAGAGCTACAATTTTTTGAACAACTGAAGACAGCTGCTATACAGTTTTCCTTAGAGCTGCAGCTGCAGTGTTCATCCAGATAGTGCACCAGAGTTAGGTGGATTCTAATACCAGCTCCTGGGCTTTCCTGCTGGGTGACCTTGGACAGGCTCCCATAAGTAGATCTTCAGGTTCTTCATCTCTACAAAGAATTAATTATACAGAGCTTTAAAATCTGACTCGTTGGGTTGCTGCATGATTCAAATGAGAGCATGTATAGAAAACATCATTATAAAGGGTGACACAAATGCAGGGTGCTTTTGCTAATTCCGAGGATGTTTCAGAAGCAGGGATCTAGACATTCAGAGCAGCTCAAAACTTCGATCACATCTGCTTTCCTTGCCTCCCTCATTCATTCCAACCAAGTAGCGCACGTGCGCGCGGACAGACACACACACACATACACACACACACACACAGAGAAGAATTATGCCACAAAGGAGATTGATATTTCCAAGACCTGAAAAGGAATCTTATCAAAGCATGTCCAATTGCAATGAGAAATGGCCCAGGCACTGTAAACCTCTGACAATTTTATGGCTTTATCATGCTACCTTACACATGCCAGACTGCACAAGTGATTTAGGGGCCAGACTCATAAAGCAGGAGGCTGTGAATCCTCAGGCATCAAATGTGTTTAGAGAAAGCATAGCTCTACCCACCGGGCATGAGACCAAGTGTGCCGCTGCATAAGCTTGTCAGGTCTTGGCAGTGGACGCTCATGGCTCAGAAGCAGCCAGATGCTACATGCTGTAAGACCAAAAGGAAGTTTCTCACCATCCATAGCTAAGTGTCTGACTATTTTCTTGTCAAAAAGTCGACAAGTTATGAATTTTGATGCCTAAGAATACAGGGTCTGTAGAATTGTATTACTTGGGTTCAAATTTCACGTCTGCCACTAGTGGTGTGACTTTGGAGAAGTTATTCAGTCTCTTTAAATCTCAATCTCCTCACCTGTAATATAGATATTAGGAAAACAGTATCTACTTCAAAGGTTATTATGGTAGTTAAATGTAGTAATACACATAAAATGCTTAGTGTAGCAGGCAGCACATAGTATAAGTCCTTAATGAATGTAAGCTCTCATTATGTTTAATTTGGTAATAGCCTCAAGATATGGTTCATCTACTCTCACTATTTCTTAAGCTTTTCTTAATAGTTATTTTGAGAGTTGGGGGGGTCTCTTTATGTGGACCCCAGGCCTTGAACTCCTGGGCTCAAGTGATCCTCCCACCTCACCCTCTTGAGCATCTGGGACAACAGGCACAAGGACTCACTCCAGCCTGTTCATTATTTTTAATATGTAAACTTGTCTCAAGCACAGAATTAGGCCAACCTTTTTCTGTTTAACTAGTCCCTCATAAGGGTCTTTATCTTGAAAGAGAAAAGAAATAAACAACTTCTAATGACTGAACTGCCAGACGTGGACTTTCTGATAATCTTAAACACTAAGAATAAATGCATCTGCTCGGGTCAGTTAAAATAAAGATGTCCCCTCGTCACTCTTCCCCATTTGAGTTTAAAGGCTGAGGAGCTGCTGGTTACTGGGTTTCCTTTAATGTTATCAGGCACACGTTCCTGTTACTCATCCTCTTTCTGATTCCTGGAATTGTGATGATGGTGGCATATGGATTAATCTCTCTGGAACTTTACCAAGGAATAAAATTTGATGCTAGCCAGAAGAAGTCCACTAAAGGTAACTGTCTTACAGCTGCACGTCTCTGCAGGTTTCCTATCACTTGGGTGAGTCTACCATGAGCGCATGCTGAGGACACTGGAGATGTTTGAAAGTATTCTCCGAGACTGTGTGGCATAACGCAGTCATGAGACCCCATCTCTGTATTTGTTCATCTGTAAAGTGGGGAAATACAGTAATTCCTCTCAAAAGGGTGCTGAATGGACTAAAAGAGAATAATACACATATAACTCAGTTATGAAAGGAGGGCCACATGTCCCTTCTTCCTGTGACATTGCAGATGGATCCCTTTAATGCTTACTGCATGCTGTGAGCCACTGTACTGGGGTCTCTCGAAAGGCATTAAAGAGAAACAAGCCCAGCTTTTTGTTGCTTTCTCCCCATCTCTCTCCTCTCTCTCACCCACACTGCAGAAGCCACAGAGCCTCACACCACATCCCATCCCCGCCACTAGCCACTGAAGTTGTCCCTGCTACCTGTGTTGACATAGCCTTTCCCTTCCTCTTTCCCCACCACCCCTTTGATCAGCTCTTTACTCTGGAGATAACTAAGTCACCTTGCTTTCTGTGTTTTTCCTTGACTTTTTCTCATTTATCTAAAAAGCCATCGAAACTTACAAGTGGGCAGGAGCTTTCCCCTGGGGAGGAGGGGAAAGAAGGAAGAGAGTATGAATATTCTTTCTTTTTTCCCCATTTTAAAAACTCATGTATGATTGTGAGTGCTAATATTCATTCTATAGTAATGTTTTATCCTTATAATCCTTATGCAAGATATTATTTTATTCTGTATTATGCTACAGGTACATGATTTTATTAGTCTCATGTAGCTTTTCATTCATAAAAACTCATGTATGGTTGTGAGTGCTAATATTCATTCTATAGTAATGTTTTATCCTTATAATCCTTATGCAAGATATTATTTTATTCTGTATTATGCTACAGGTACATGACTTTATTAATCTCATGTAGCTTTTCATTCAAGCTGAGAATGAGTGTAGTGCCACACTTAGCCCGTGTGGGCCACAGCGGTCTGTTGGCTTCTCCTGTTCTCCTGGCCCCCTGGGTAGAGGTAGGTGGGGGCTCCATGACCACTGTCAGGCCTGACCTACCTTCTCAATAAACGATGTCATTTACCCATCCAGAAAGGAAGACGAGCACTAGCAGCAGTGGCCAACTAGAGGACAGCGACGGGTGTTACCTGCAGAAGCCCAAGCACCCCAGGAAGCTGGAGCTTCGGCAACTGTCCCCCAGTAGCAGCGGTGGCAGCAGGATCAACCGCATCCGGAGCAACAGCTCCACTGCCAACTTGATGGCCAAGAAGCGGGTGATCCGCATGCTCATCGTCATCGTGGTCCTCTTCTTCCTGTGCTGGATGCCCATCTTCAGTGCCAATGCCTGGCGAGCCTATGACACCGCCTCTGCTGAGCGCCGCCTCTCGGGGACGCCCATCTCCTTCATCCTCCTGCTCTCCTACACCTCCTCCTGCGTCAACCCCATCATCTACTGCTTCATGAACAAACGGTTCCGCCTCGGCTTCATGGCCACCTTCCCCTGCTGTCCCAACCCGGGTCCCCCAGGGGTGAGAGGAGAGGTGGGGGAGGAGGAGGAAGGCAGGACCACAGGGGCATCTCTGTCCAGGTACTCCTACAGCCACATGAGCACCTCTGCCCCGCCCCCGTGAGCTGGCCCCTGGGCCACCCAGTGCTGCAGGAAGGAGGCCACCGGAGGAGGAAGAAAAGGAGAGAGCAGAAGGAGGAGGACGCAGAAGGGAAGAAGGAAGGCCGGGTTTCCCGAGAGCACTCTCCATTGTCTGCGTTTCATCCTTCTTCTGTTCCTAGAGAGGAAGTCCTGATCCAGGGAGGCCATGACTTGGTTTCCAGGTAGTCCAGGCAGGATATTCTCAGAAACACTCACCATCAGAGAAGCCAGGGCAGGCTAGTGACAGGAGTCCACAGAGTCACACCGTAAACATAATTGCCAAGCATATATTCAAATGCAGATGTGGACCCTACAGAGCTTTAGAAAGTTCTGGAACACTCCATATCACTCTCCACAGCAACACCTTTCTATATTCTGCTGCTTCTGCTTGTGCAGAGCTGTGGGGGCTGCTTTGTCCCAGGAAGCCCACAACTTTCAAGTACATACTGCAGCCGCCCGTCTTCCTGCAGTCACCTCCTTTGGCCCTGTTCTGTGGGAGGAAACCAGTCTGGTGGTCTACATCTCGAGCTCTGGTGGAGGGCATTCAGAAACACAGGATTATGTCATCATCACAACCACTGAAGGAATGTTGTCCTGAAGAAGGAATTTAATAGAACTCATATTTCTACAAAGAAAAGAGATTACAAGGCAAAAAACTACATGGAAGAATGTCTTACCTTAAGGAATGTTAAGTCCAGATGGTGCACTGCAAGTGTTTTCTGCTTCCCCTTTATATGGTGATTTTGAACCTCATTACTTCACTGCCTTAACTTAATTTCCCATATTTATCTCCACGTTCGTTACATATAGGTATACTTTTGGATGTGTTAAGAAAAAAGAATCCTTAAGAGATGTTGGAATTTAGCAAGTGTTACTCATTTTATATTCCTGCAGAAAATAAGGAGTTCTGTGTGAACTTTGTTTGCAAAATTAATGTTGAATTCTCTCCATCCTAAGTTAGAAATCTCAATTTAAAATAAGATACCAGGGAAGTGCCTTTCTAGAATAGTATGTGTCAGTCCAATCTACAATGTTTTTTTTTTTTTTTTTTCTGAAGAACAAAATTGTCCAACCTGCTAAAATAAATCAGCATCAACACTTTTGACAGAAGCAAATTTGCATAATGGTGTGGGAGATAAGCAAACACAGAAAAAAAAACAAAGAAAGTGTGTGGCTTCCTGTCTCCAAGCATGTGTTGTTTCATTGGGGTTATCTGTACACACTGACCCAGGCTGATAAGCTGTGGGGTGATTTCAACCATCACCCCCCCAAATCTCAGTGTGGAAAAGGCGGGGAGTGACAAGAGGTGATGGGGTAACAGGTATTGTGTAACTTGATACGATGCGGGGGTCACATTTGCTCTCTAGTGGGTAACAGTCATGTGCTAAGAAGAAACTGAGAGTGTGACTGTTGGAGAGGACTTTTCAAGCCACACTGTTCCTTCTCTGACCATGATCTTACTTTTCTTTCACTAACCATCTCAAGGTTGCTTTTACCATTTCAAGGTAAAAATTTAACCGACTAAAATATGCATTGCCACAAAGGTAGTGGGAAAAGGTATACGAAAGAAAAATGTCATCAGTAGCTCAGTGTGTCTTGCATTAGTTACAGTTTTCCCACCGGAAGAATAAGTCTTTCCCTCTGACAGTGTTAACATATAAACAAAACAAATGCCCCCAACTATTGGGAACTTCTGGAATTTCCAAAGATATATTGACCTAAAAAATAAGGTCCCCTAGCTTAGCTAATTAAAGTACAGATACCAAGCTAATTCTAATTTCAGATAAGCTATGAAAAATTTTTAGTATGACTATGTCCCGTGCCCTAAAATACATCCTGTATTTTAACTTTCCACCCTACTTTGAAATATTTAAAAATACAAAACTACAAAGACGATTTTGCAGTTATAATGCAATAAAATTCCCCTACTCATTTAATTTATTGGAAAGTCTTTTGCTTAATGAAAGCCGTTTTTAAAGGAGAAGAAAAACAATTAACTTTCAGGATCTGTGTCTGACCTTTGGAAAGGTCTGGTTTTACTGACTTTTTAAAAATTTAATATAATGCTCTTCTCCTACTTTGTTAACTGGCTTTATTTCATGCTAAAGTAGATTAGGAACTAAAGTGGCCATAGAGTTAAAAAAAAAAAAAATATATCAATTTTCTGGTGTTTTCTAGTGGCTTCTGGTAGTTTCCTCCATCACCTGAGTGACGTTAGGGCACTGGAATGGAGAGTTATAGCTTTGTCCTTTAATTATATCCTGTGTATCAGTGGCTTCTTGTGCCCCATCACCGTGGTAACCTCTCCTAATAAACCTGTTGGTGGTGAATGAGCAGTGTCTGTGAGTCTAGAGCTCTGTTATACACATCCCTATATGCTTAACAGATATCCCCTTCCTTCAAGTAAAATGTAATCCTCATTACATGAGTGATGGTGGCTGTACTTCCCCCAATACCCCCACAGCGTGCATGCTCAATAAATGTTGTGCGTAACTACTGTGAGTCCTGTGCTTTTGGTGGCTTCTCTTTCCATTCACAGCTGTGCATCTCAACAAGAGGTGGCTTATTCTTAGAGGGGAGAGGAGGCGAGCAGAATTTGACAAGCATCTTTCCCCTCTAGCTGTCTCCCCACCCAAGGTTCTGATGGGCCAGCATCTGCAGCCATCTCTGCCTCTCTCCTCTCCCCTGTGGTCTGCGGGGAGGGGGACACAGTGACTGGAATCAGAGACGCTGCTGGTGGGAGGGTGCTGTGCCTGTGAGCGGCACCGAGACCCGGATGGACAACGGTATCTCCCAGCTTGGCTGCTTCTGCCCTTGTTCTCTTGGAGAAGAACAGTGAAAACCCATCCCCATATTTCTAACCTGGCTGGCTCCTTAGGGCCAATAAATAGCAAAGCCCATGTGGCTCCGTTGGCTGCTGCTCCTACCCATTTTCTCTGCTGCATGGTCCTCCGGGTGCCTTGCCGGGCCATCCCCCAACTCACACTGCATCCACCACCTCCTTGTGACTGGTTTTCAGCACCAAACATGGCACTCTCTGCTGCAATTTGACTGGGTGTCCTAGACCTCTGTGGCTTCTCAGTCCCAGCGAATACCCCGCTTTCCCACCCCAGCTCTTGGAAGCCCAGTCTCCTTGTAGAGGAAGTGAGGTGGGACAGGTACAATTATCCGAATCCGGCATTGGTCAGAGCACATTATGGGTACTCAATAAGTGCTTCAGGGCATAAATGAATGAATGAGTGAATGAATTTGAATGGAGTTGTTCCTCAGTACCACACCTTTCCCGGCCACTGTGGGCAGGGCACAACTTTCCACGCAGAGGCAGAGTGTACAGTAATGATTATTCAAAGCCAAGCTGTCCAAGAAGTCACATTCTGATTCCATATGCCCATAGCAAATCTTACTTTTGAGATCATTACCCATAAAAGCCACTGCTGTGGGTAATGAAGATTAAGTCCACAGATCTGTGTCTCAGCCCCACTGGTTATCACTAACATGCTGCACAGCTCCATACCAGCTGCGTCCCTTCCCTGGGGGTCAGTTTTCTCTTGCACATAATAAGGGATGAGGGGCTGTGGTTCCATGTCTGAGACTACGCGACTCAGTGGGTCAGAATCTGCTCTCCTTTTATTATACAGTTTCCCCTCAATTTCATTGGCTTGCCGCTCACTGCAGTCAGAGAAGCTTGCTGTCACCCAAGCACACAGCAGCTCTGAGGGTGGTGGTGAGGTGACAAAAAAGAGACCCAGAGAGTCTCCAAGCTCTCAGCCCATTCCAAGTCACAGCTTCCCAGAACCACTATAGGAGGCTCCTCCTGGAATGGCAGCCCCATTGCTGTTGAAATACAGGCCCAAAAACCCCCTCCTCAAATACTTTTGGCCTGAGAAGGGGAGGTGTACCAACACCGACTGAAGCTCATTTCACAGAGGCACTGTGCACGTGCCCGGTGACACAGGTGACAGTAAGTATTGGGAGATGGATGAGCCTAGGTAGCATGGGCTTTATTTTAATCCTCCAAGCTGCCTGGCAAGCCTGAGGTCATGAGTTCGATTCCCGGTACCAAAAAAAAAAAAGCATCATAATCCTCCAAGCCACATGTGTAAAGAATCATTTTCCACATTTCCCAGTGGAAGAAACTGAAGTTCAGAGCCTGTGGTAAAGGACTGAGATCAGGCGGCTGGTAAACAATGGGGCAGGGTCAAGCTGCATTTTAATTCCTCCGGCGGCTGTTGGGATTGAGTGACATCTGCTATTCTAAGTAATCAATAGAGGCTACTCAGTTTCCTGTGACGCTGCCCAGGTCCTGGTCCCTGCGCTGTCCTAGCCCCAAGGAAGAGATCCCTGTCTGTGCCCATGGACATCCGGCCCTTGCTCTGAGCTCCCTGCTGGTGCAGGATTTGAAAGCTGGATTTTCGCCCTTGTGTCCCGGATGCTTCTGCCCTCTTCTTATTTATAGCAGCACAACTACATACTTTGCCACCTCACAGGAAAGCCGAGAAATAGCATCAGTAAACCACCTTTTACCCCTTTGGCAAACTATCAACAATTTCAAACAGATGTGTGTTCTCAGAATCATCAGAAAGAAGACAAACACAGGCCAATTCATCCATCAGCGTGGGGTATAAAACATCCTGGCTTCCCTTTCCGTTATCTTTTTATCAAGTTCTCCTCCTCCAGGGAAATGAGAAGATTACTGTTGTCTGCGGAGCGCATTAGGATGCCTCCAGCTCACCATATCAGCAATGGAACTCATGCTCGTATCTCAGAGCACTCCTGCTCCAGATTCTCCCTCACTGCTAATGGTGCCTCACTCTCCCCAGTCTCCAGCCTCAAGGTCTGGCTCACCTTTGGAAGGACAAGATCAGGATGTGGTGCAGAACTTGGGAGACAGAAAGATTGAATTCATACGCGAAGCCCAACTGGTGGTGGAACAGCAGGCAAGTTACTCAATCTCCAAGTTCCAGACCCTCAGCCAGAACACTTATATCACAGGGTTTTGTGAAAATTAAATAACATTAATGCTAAAGGATGTCAATGATATTAATTTTAGGGTGATTTTTCTAAGGATTTTAAGGTGGACTTTTCCAGACTCACATGATAGCTGTGGACAAGCAGTGGCAAGTTGCCCAACACTCCAAAGAGAGGCATTAAATGTAATTCCATGACTTGCTGAGACAATGGCAGATACGGGAGGGCGAGGTAGAGTATCTAGCCTGGGGATGGAAGACTGGTAGGAGAAAATGGTATTTTCCTGAATGTTCCACATCTTTAAATAAATTATTCATGAGGAGTGTCTTAAAAACAGAAGGTGCTTAATGAGCGACAGTAGTCAGAAGGGAGATCTAGGACTCCTGTGTCAGCTAGTAGATTTGTCAGGCTGATCTTTTTGTTTCCACTGAAATGCCCTACATCAAAATGACCTTTGTGTTTATCTTTTTTTAGGTAAATGGTCACAGCTAGTGATCATACTCATAAGTGAAATAAATCAGACCCACATGTGTAAACAACATATTGTCTCATGAGTGTAAGAACCTGAAAGAGTGAATAAAAATTAGGAGGTATGATAGACATTGTGAAACAAAAGGAAACTGCTCAGGGGTAAAGAACAACTGGGATGAGGGAAAAGAGAAAAGAAAGAAGGGGAAAATTATGTGTATATGTATATACAGGATAGCTAACATAGTTGTACTACTGACTTCTATCGCTTTATTGAAAGGAACAGTTAATGATTAATTATCTGATCAATCTTACGTGTCTATATTTGTTTTCCTGAGTAACCACTTTGAAGATATCAATATGTAATATAACAACCATTGTTAATTTCCTACCACCTTGTCTGAAACTCTGTATTGCTTATATTGTTCTTGTGTTATTCTCTAAATGTATGTGTGTTTGTTAATATGTTTTCATTCTTTTACTTTTAAAATTAAAAAATGACCTTTGTCATTTATAACCCAGAAAGCCACAACAATGATCCAACTGGCTTCCCAACTCCTACTTCTCCCTGTGCTCCACTTTGCCTACTCTCTGGAATCAGATTGGTCTGATCAGGAGAAGGCGAGGGTCATCTCCTCCCTGCCCAGGGGCTCTAAGGCTCGCCTTGGTCCAGAAGTCCAACTTCAGTGCAGTACCAAGCTCCCCCACAACGGGGGCCAACCTCCCTCCCTATCAATCCCTTACCTCTTCCTTTCAGAAGAGAACGGTTTGCTGTGCCCCAAGCCCTTCTTGTACTTATGCCGCACTCAATTTAGAGTGCTATTGCTCTCTTTGGCACTTTCTGAGAAAATTCTACCATTTTCCATGGTTCAGATCACCTATCACCTTCCCACGAAGGCTCTGAGCTCTTCTATCAGAAATGACTTCTCTCCCACTGAGCTCTCACAGCGTTTGTGTGTAGATGTCTGATTGCCCAGCAATAGCTCATCTGTCTCCCACGCTCCTCACTCACTGTTTGCTAATGAAACCCTGTTACACAGAGACATTGGCAGGATTATACTCATGAAAGGAAAGTCCAGTTCCAAGGAGTAAATGTGGATGGATCTGTGCTAGACATGATAATCCCATTCCCTTTTGCTACTTATTGGTTTAGGACTACGTTTACGCCATTTGGCCAGTGATGCTCAAGAACATGTCCTCTAGTTTAAAAAAAGAAATTCCTAATTTGTGGCAAGTTTGCTAATTTCTGTGGTACAAATACTCCCATCATGGCCAATTTTCCATTATTAGCATGACATCATTCAAATGGGAAGCTGGGAACACCATCTGACACTATTTCTGTCATGTAGGTATAAGAAAAATACATTATCAAGAACACAGATAATAACTAAATATAGAAGAATAATTAGGAAGCAATGCATTTTGAGAACTTATTAACAAATTTCCTGAAAATTAATCTTGCTTTTGTAATCCAGTACAAGCCAACACAAACACCGCTGGCTCTAGCCAATGAAATCCAAGAGGCTTGAGGTTTCTGGGTTTGTCAGTGTTTGTTACATCACACTGCAGTAACGAACAACCCCCAAATCTAGCACTGGGCACCACAAATGAATGTGTTCCCATCCCCTTTTGATGAACAAATTCTTCATTTATAAAATATACAGACTTGGTTAGTGGCTTTCAAATTTTAATACAGAAAAATCTTTGTTTCCCTGCACCAACAATTCTGTACAGAAGTCTAAAATGGGAAATAGATAGGTGTGCAAGTGTTCTGAACGAAGGAACAGAGCTTCAAGATCCCTCCTCGAACACCCTGGGACACCCTGGGTTCCACAGAACATGGTTTAAAAACCATCAATTTGAATGCACTTCAGGACCACCAATCTATGGTGCTAGGGCCTATAATGTCTGCCTTTTTCAGAACTAGCAGTGACTTCAGTTCAGCTTGGCCTCCTTCACAAGTTTAGGGCTTTAATTTCCAGACTCACTGTGCCCTTGGCTCTGTGGGGTGGGCAGACCACCTT